CGGTGGAGATTCAGCACGCCATCGAGGTCTTCTCTCAGATCCCCTGCGTCTTCGAGCTGAAGCGCACGAAGCGCTTCGAGCCCGGGGGCCCTCTGATAGGCTACACGAGCGAGGGCAAGCCCTTCCGACCAGAGGTCTGCCTCAGACAACCGCGGCGTCTTGGGCCCGCGGCGCCAGCGCGATAATTTTCGGCTTGGCTACGGCATGGGCATCTACTGGGAGATTCTGGCGAAGGAACGCGCGCGGCGCGCGGGCGCGCCCCTCGTTCGCTTGAAGGTCGCGGACGAGTGCCGCGCGATTCGGGGCGATCCCGACGCGGGTCGGCGCCTGCTGAACGCCCCGAACACGCGCGAGACGGCCGACGTCCACGGCGCATGACCGGCCCATGTCGGCATGGAGGTGCGGCTCACGGCAGCGCAGGAAGAGCCGACGAAGAGCTTGGGGCTCGCGCAAGAGCAACGGGCCACCATCGTGCCCTTTGAGTTCCACCCCGACGACGAGCAGCGCTGCGAGGAGTGCTCGCCGGGCCAGGACTTTCGCCCCCGCTTCCCGCCGTGGGGGGTCTGGCTGCAGGCGCGCGGCGTCAAGGGATCCCCGATCTACAAGGGGGTTGCCGAGGTGCTGCCCCAGGGCGCCGAAGGCGCCGACGACGGCGGCGGGGCCGAAGCGCGGGCGCGGAGCTTGCTCGCGTTCACGCCCAGCGAGCATAAGTTCACGCGGCAGAGCTCGGGGCCGCTTGCCGCGCGCCGCCGGGGTTCACAGCGACGCGCGCGGCCCGCCTCACCTCCGCGCCGTCGCAGGGCCAGACGACGCGCAAAGGCGCCGCCGTCGACTTCGCGAGAGACGAGGGCGCTGGCCGCACGGACATGTCGGACGACCAGCGGTGGCTGCATCTCTGCGTCATGCTCTCCCGCGCCAGCGCGCCGATCTTGCGGCCGCCGCCGCGGAAGTTCCTGGGGGGTGGGCCGCTGGCGCCCTCGCGGAAGGCGCTCCTGGAATTCGACATCAGAGCGGAGAGCTCCAAGGCAGAGGTGGAGCAGCTCGCGGCAGAGCTGGGCTTCGCGCTGCCCCCCGCCCGAGCGCGGCGGCGCCCCGCTCGAAACCCGCAGGGTTGTCCCAGCGGCTTGGTCTCGCGCGCCAGCGGCTCGCGGGGTCGCCCCAGCGGCCCTGCCCGCGGCGTTGCCCCAGCGGCTGCGGCGCAATGTGGCAGTTAGAGATTGCGCCCGCGCTGGCCGAGGCAGCGACGGCGCCGAGGAAAACTGACGCGCGCGGTCACGCAGTAAAAAGGGGAGGAGGTGGCGGGGGGCGAAAGAAACAAGAAGGCGAGGAGGGGGCAAGGCAGGGAGCGGGAGAAGGGCCTGCGCCAGGGCGTCAAAAGGAGAATGATTCGGAGGAGACAGTAAGGGCGCCTCACTCATCGCGAGGACGACGGTGAGGGTCATTTCCAGATTCGCCGAGAGGTTTCTCATGCGGGGTCCTACCGACGGAGTAATTTGTTCCGGATGATGAGGAAAACATCGGGAGACACTTGCGACTGAGGAATGCGAGGGATGTGCGGAAACGACGGAAGGAACATAGGAGGAAAGTTCCTGCCCCATAGGGTCCGCCACAAAGAGGAAAAGGGAGCAAATTCGCGGCCAATGCTTGGCCGGGTCATTGGACCATGCGTTCCCCCAACAATTTCGGTACCTCTTCGGGTAACACGTGGGGGAAGAAGAAAAGGATCATAATAGGACATTTCTTCGGAGCATCATGGGTCATTCTGCGAGCCTCTCGGGAGTTTCCTGTGAGGCCTTGGGGGCGCCTCTTGGAAACTTGTTTGGGCCTCTTGGAAATATTTGGGGCCCTCTTGAGGGCCGCTTTGATCGTCCTAAGACCTTCCTGGCTCGTCTGGCGCCGTTGAAAGCAGTTTCTGGGCCGTCTTGGGGCTCTCTTATGGCGCTTCAGGGCCGTCATCGAAGCCATCTTGGGCGTTTTGGGGGTCTTTTGGGCCGTATTGGAGCCCTCGTGGGCCGTATTGGATGCCTCGTGGACAGTCACGGGGCCATTTCTGACGCCTTTTGGCCGCCGTGAGGACGGCCTTGGGAGGGCCTTTGGGCCGTGTTTGGCGGCCGGAGGGCGGAATTAACCAATCTTTTAATCTTTCGACAACCATCAGGAACACACATGTTGTGGGCCTTTTCGAGCCTTCCCGGGCGAACAATTGGAAGCCTCCTTCCAGGCTGTCTTAGAGGCCTCCTGGGGGCTTCTTGGGCCGTCTAGGGCCGTCTCCAGGCTATCTCAGGCCGTCTTGGGTGCTTGGGCAGTCTTGGAGGCATCTTGCGGCCATCTTGGGTTCTCTTGGGGCAATCCTGGCCGTGTTGGAGGCCATCATGGGCGTCTTGGGCGCTTTTTGGGCCGTCAGTGGTCCGTCTTTGGGGTCTCTTTGGCCCTCATGCGGCCATTTTCGAAGCCTCCTCGGCGATTTTGGAGCGATCTTGGGAACATCTTGGGCCGTGTGGGCCGTCGGAAGATCGAACAACAAAAATAAATACCCAAATCTTTGAAGCAAAACAAATCTCCTTCGAGTCCTCCTGGAGCACCTGTGGACGGTCTCTGGGGCCGTCTTGGAGGCCTCGTCGGGGCCTCTCGGGCCGCCGTGGGCCAGCTCCAGAGAATCTCAGGCCGCTTTGGCTGCATCCTGAGACGGTTTGGAAGCAGCTTGCCGCCACCTTGGGGCTCTCTTGGGGCCGTCGTGGCAGTCTTGGAGGCCATCTTGGACGTCTGGGAGCCTGTCGGGTTATCCTGGTGCCCTCCTGGGGTCATCTTCGGAGCCTCTTGGGCCGTCATGGGGCCGACTTGGAGGTCGGAAGGGCCATCTTGAGGCGATCTCGGGGCCTCTGAGGCCGTCTTGAGCCGTCGGAAGGCCGAAAAGAAGCACATGCCAAAATCTTTCAACAACCTAAGGACAAGCAAGGACGTTGGCCTCTTGGGGCTCTCGTGGAGGACCTCTTGGAGGCCTCTTGGGCCGTCTTGGACACCTCTTGGGCGCGTCTTGGGCCGTCTTGGAGGCTTCTAGGGCGGACTTGGAGATATCTTGGACCCTCGTGGGCCGTCTTGGAGGCCATCTTGGACCAGCTCGAGCCATCTTGGACCATCTTGGGCGATCTTGAAGGCCCTCGTGGAGCCGTGCAGGGGGCTTCTTGGGCCGTCATGGGGTCACTTTGGAGGCCTCTGGGGCCATCGTGGGGTGACCTTGGGGGCCTCCTGGGCCGTCGTTGGCCGTCGGAAGGCCGAAATCAAGCGACTGCCCCCAAAAACCCAAGGACACATAATACGTTTGACCTCTTTGAACCCTCCTGGAGAACCTCTTGGAGGCATGCTGCGCCGTCTTGGAGACCTCTGGGGCGCATCTTGGACCGTCTTGGGTTGTCTTGGAGGCTTCTTGAGCGGACTTGGAGGCATCTTGAGCCCTCGAGGGCCGTCTTGGAGGCCGTCTTGGACCTTCTTTGGCCATCTTGGCGGCCATCTTGGAACATATTGGGCGAATTTGGAGGCCTCTTGGGTGGTCTTGGAGGCTTCTGGGGCCGTCATGGGATCATATTGGAAGCCTTTGGGGCCATCTTGGGCCGTCTTGAGCCATCGGATGGCCGAACAGAAGCAAATGCCAAAATATTTAAAACCGAATTCTTGACGCTTCGCGTATCCCCACCAGCCCATTCAGTAGGTGCCCAGGCGAATGGAGGTGATCAGGGAAGTGAGGGAGCATACAGAGTAACAAAGGGCTGGGGAACCCGTCTTACCCAAGACGGCGAGGATGGAGGAGGAATCGGAGGAGGATGAGAAGGAGGAGGAGGAACTGAAGGAGGAGGAGGGGGAGCGGGAGGAGGGAGGAGGGAGGAGGAGCAATAGGCGGATGAGGAGGAGGAGGAGGAGCAGGACGAGAATGAGGAGGAGGATGAGGAGAAGGGCGAGCAGCATGGCCAGAGGCCTCTTGGATGCCTCTCGGAGTCTCTTCGGATGTCTCTTGGGAGCGTCCTGAAGGCCTCTCAGGGCGTCTTGGGAGCGTCTTGGCGGTCCCGGAGGCCTCTTGGGGCGTCTTGGGTGCCTAGGGGAGCCTCTTGGGGACCTCTTGGGGCCATCTTGGGGCCATCTTGGGGCCATCTTGGCGCCTCTTGGGGCCTCCTGGGCGCCTCTTGGGGCCATCTTGGAGGCGATCGATCAAAGAAGAGGGTGGGGTTAATTAACCCCGCCCCTCTAGATCCTCTAAAATCGCCTCTTGGGCTCATCTTGAGGCGCTCTTGGAGCGCTCTTGGGCGCTCTTGGGGCCGTCTTGAGGCTCTCTTGGGCCCCTCTTGGGGCTATCTTGGGCCCTCTTGGAGCCATCTTGAGGCCTCGGAAGGCCAACGGAAGCGAAAAGGCGAGAAAGCAAAAATCATTGGTTTTTCTTAGTTTTTGAAGGATTTGGGCCTCTTGGGGGGTCTCCTTGGAAGTCTCGGAGGCCTCTTGGAGTCGTCTTGGGGCGATCTTGGGGCCTCGTGGAGCATCTGGGGAGCCATCTTGAGGCATCTTGGGCTACCTCGAGGCATCTTGGAGGTCATCTTGGCCTCTTCGAGGCCCTCTTGGAGCCGTCTTGGGCCATCTTGGACGCTCCAACGCGTCGCGGAACCCCCCGTCCAGGTCCAGGGGAGGGGGTTAGGGGGAGGGGTAAACCCCTCCCCGAAGGGGAAGGAGGGAAGATGGAAGAGGAAACTCCCTAAACCACCTACGCCCAGAGGGCTGGTGGGATTACATGCAATGAGTTTGGCCACTTCGGGCCTTCGTGGAGGCCCTCTTGAAGGCCTCTTGGGCCGTCTTGGAGGCCTCTTGGGGGCCTCTTGTGCCATCTTGGCCCGTCTTTTTTTTTAATCCTATCACCCTGGGGCTTATCATGCACAGGAAATTCAGATGCCGCCTAGCAAGGCAAGCGAGGCTGACTGCACCGCAGAGCACGCTCGCCAAGAGAAAGCGCCGACCGCCGCCTACTGCTGGAGCTGAGCCTCGCGCCTCCGCCGCCGCTCCTGCCTGGCCCACGTCCTCCACGGGGAGCCAGGCCCGAACGTGTCGCGGAGCCAGAGGCGCCCAGCTTCTCGCTCGGAGGCCGAGGGAGCTGGAGGGGCGTCGTCGCCGCCTGCGCCCTGCCAGCCCGGCCTCCGAATGTCGCGGTCGACCGTGAGGGCCACGCATCCCGCGAAGACGTGGCGGCGCAGAGCCAGGAGCCGCTTGGGCCCACGCGCGGGCTCCTGGCGCGCCACCGTCTCCGAGCCGTGGAGCGTGCAGCCGTCACCGACGCCGCCCACGCCGTCCTCCTCATCGATCCCCCCGCCGCCAGAGCAGGAGCAGGAGCCCGAGGGAGGCGAAGTGAAGAGGGCGTCGTCGTCCAGTCTCTTGCCGCCGTTGCGCTGGGGCCCAGCCGCCTCCACGCCGTCGTCCGTGCCGAGGTGCGGGGAGAGGTCGAAGCCGCCGTGCGCCACGGCATCCGAGGCCAAGGACCTGTCGCCGTCCTGGTTGCGGGAGCCGACCTCCTGCATGCTGAACTCGCCGTCGATGTCGCCAGCGGCCATCTCGCTGCCACCGCTGAGGACGGCAGACTCGTTGGCCAGCAAGTACGCCGTGACGATCGAGGGGTCCACGAAAGCAGCAGGCGAGGAGGTGCAGGCAGTGCTGCACGCCGCACCAGGATCAGGGAGGCGATGAGGATGAACAGCACCACCTTGAGAAGGCCGAGGGGCAGGGTGCTCTCCGAAGCCGCCGCTGCTCTCAGGCCTTGCCAAGGCCGAGTCATCCAATCCCTCGACGCCAGCGTGCCACCAAAGCGGCCCAGAAGCCAGCGGGGCCGCAGTGGGATGACCCGCGCTGCGCACGAGCTCGGCGAGCGCGAAGGACGCGCCAGCGGGCAGGCTGCGCCCGCGCCTGCGAGCCACACACCAGCCCGTCTCCACTCCCTCGGCCGCCGAGCGCTGGGCAGGCACTCGGCGGTGTGGAACCGCCGCACCTGCAGGGCGAAGCTGAGGAAGAGCAGCACGCCCACGACCACCAGCACCGCGTCCTTGCCGAGGTCGACAATCTGGACCGCTACGCTGCAGTCGGTTGAGCGATGTCAACCTCATCTTCGCAATTGATGCGCCCCTCCTCGAAGCGCAATGCATGCCAGCATTCCGCCTGGCGGTGGCCAGCGGCGGAGCGCGCCTGCATGCTCCCGAGGAAGCGGCCCCATCAACGGTGAGCGACGATGCAAGCTCGTCGCTGGCGTCCGCGCCGAGCGTGCCACACTGCGTCCCGCTGCTGCCGCCATAGGGGGGCGGCGCGGCGGGGGCAGCGCGAGGGACAGCGGCGCCAACTGCAGCTGCGCGGCGGTCGGCGAGCATGTCCATCAGCACAGGCACGGCCAGGGCCAGCCGCGTCGCGAGCTCCTGGACCAGGACGTCGTCGGGGACCTGCTGGCTGCCGAGCGGAAGAGCCGCGAGCCGCACGGCCTGCGCCGCCGCCTCCCCGCGCACCGCGCGGCAGTCGGCGAGCTCGGCCTCGAGCGTGGCGACTCTCGCCAAGGCAGCCGCCAGCTTCCCTTGGGCAGCACTGCGCGCAGCGCACTGGCGGGCGCGGCGCGCCGGCCAGAGAGAAGCCGCGGCCCCACCCGCCTGCCGAGGCTGCTCGGCCGCCACAGGGGCAGCTTGGCAGCCGACCGTAGCCATCTCCCCAAGCGCCCGAACTCTACGGCCTCCCGCGGGGCCCAAAACGAGAGCGAGCAGAGCAGGGAACGGCTTGAGCCAAAATGTTGGAGGCTTCTTTGGCGGATTTGGAAGTAGCTTCCCTCTTGGGTCGTTTAGGAGACCATTTGGGACCTTCTTGGGCGAACTTGGAAACCATCTTGCCCTGGGGATTTGTTTCTGGACGTTGAGGTTCCCTCCGGGTGGCCGACGGACGGCATCGGCCGAAGCCCCAGGGGGATCCTACAAAAACCAACAACCTCCTGAAGTCTGACACGCTGGGCACCCCTGTGGCAAGCCAACAGGGGGCGGCTGATCGAAGACGCCTACGGCGAATGACCGCCGCCCCCTGCCTTTTTGTAAGTGCCTATGTGGCCGAACGTTGAGGCCAGACCTGCTAAGCTATCGGACCATGTGTTCCCCGAATCGGTTTGCAAAGCCTGCGGGGAACACGTGGGCATCTTGAAGGTAATCTTGGCCGTCGGGAGGCCATTTTGACCCTTTCGGGCCTTATTGGAGGACGTCTTAGGGGGCTCTTGGGCCGTCTTGGAGGCCATCTTGAGCGTCTTGGAGGCCTCTTGGGCCGTCTTGGGGGTCTCATGGGGCCGTCTTGGGCCTCTTGGGCGATCTTTGGGGGCACTTGGACCGTCTCGGGCCGCCGTCGGCAGGCCGAACAAAAAGCAAATGCCACAATCCTTTTCGGGCCTTCCTGGAGGCCCTCTTGGAGGCCTCTTGGGCCGTCTTGGGCCATCTTAGGGCCAACTTCGGCCGTCTTGGTGGGCTCCTGGCCCGTCTGACGCCGTCGGAAGCCGTTTGGTGGGAATCTCTGAACCGACTTGGGGCCCTCTTGGAATGCTCCAGGGCCGTCTTGGAGGCCATCTTGGGCGTCTTAAAGGCCTCCTGGGCTGTCTTGGGGGCTTCTGGGGGCCATCCGGGGTTGCCTCTCGGGCCGTTCTGGGGCCATCTTGGAGGCCTCTTGGGCGATCTTTGGGCGATCTTTGGGGGCTCTTGGGCCGCCTCGGGCCGTCGGAAGGCCGAAAAGAAGCAAATGTCAAAATCCTTCAAAATCCTAAGGAAAATCACAGTTTTTGGCGTTTTCTGGCCTTCCTGGAGGCCCTCTTGGAGGCCTCTTGGGCCGTCTTGGGCCATCTTAGGGCCAACTTCGGCCATCTTGGTAGGTTCCTGGCCCGTCTGACGCCGTCGGGAACCGTCTTGGGGGCCTCTCTGAACCGGCTTGGGCCCTCTTGGGGCGCTCCAGGGCCGTCTTGGAGGCCATCTTGGGCGTCTTAAAGGCCTCCTGGGCCGTCTTGGGGGCCTCTTGGGGCTGTCTGGGGGGCCTCTTGGGCCGTCATGGGGCTATCTTGGAGGCCTCCTGGGCCGTCTTGGGGGCCTCTTGGGGTCTGGGGGGCCTCTTGGGCCGCCATGGGGCCATCTTGGAGGCATCGTGGGCGATCTTGGGGCGATCTTGGGGGCCTCTTGGGCCGTCTTGAGCCGTCGGAAGGCCGAAAAGAAGCAAATGCCAAAATCTTTCAAAACCAAATGAAAATCAATGATTTTGGCCTCTTGGGCCCTCCTTGGGAGGCCTCTTGAGCCGTCTTGGAGGCCTCTTGGGCTGTGTTGGGCCGTTTTGGACTCTCTTGGGCCGTCTTGGAGGCCGTCGTTGACCATCTTGGGCGGATTTGGAGGCCATCTTGGACCATCTTGGAGGCCATCTTGGGCCAACGTGGCCATCTTGGAGGCCACCTTGAGCTGTCTTGGAGGATTTGTTCCAAGATTGGGCATTTCCCGGGTGACGCGCCGGAGCCCCATGGGGGGTTTTTTGGAAAAGAACCAAAACCAAAAACGATAGGATCTAGCACGCCAGGCACCCCTCTTGCAAGCAACAGGGGGCGGCGGATACGAATGGCCTTCGGCTCATCCCGCCACCGTGCCTGGGTTCTGGGTCATCGGCTTCTAGGATGTTCGCTGGAGGCGGGAACGCCAAAATCGCTCAAAAACCATGGAACGTCAATGATTTGTGCCTCCTGGGGGCCCTCTTGGAGCCCTCTTGGGGCGTCTTGGAAGCCGTTCGGGCCGTCTTGAGACCATTTTGGGTGTCGCGGGGAGTTCGTGGGCCGTCCCGTGGCCCTCGGAGACCGTTTGGGAGCCTCTTGGGGTCCTCCTGGCCTCTTTCGGAACCTGTTTGGTCCATGGAAAGAAAAATGACGCGCGACCAGCCGCAGGAACGCCGAGGAGCGCCATGCACTCAGGGCTGTGAGCAACTTTGACAGAGTAGTTCCGTATTCGATACAGAGGGTTCGAAAGGACCTCAGGGCACACCACTTCATGCGTCTCTGGGCACTGTTGCGGATGCACGCATGGGCGCGTAAAGCATCAACACCCATATGTATACAAACGGTTCCGTTTTGCAAGCGTGCGCACATATACGAACGTACAGTGTCCAAAACTTGTTAACAAAAATGATGACCTCCCCTCCCCCCCCAGATCCTGACTGCCATTACGTCGCCGCCGAATAACTATCTTTTTGCTTGTCCCCCTGGACAATATTCCACGTGAACCGAACGATGCGATCGATACATGCACACATGTATGTTTGTCAGAGTGAGGGTACCCAACGGTCATTCACTGTCCCTGGGTGCGTGGCTAAAGTGAGAATCCGTGGTGAGGATTCTGCTTGTTGCGTTGTTGTTGTTGTTGCTGTTGCTGCTGTTGTTGTAGTTGTAGTTGGTGTTGCTGTTGTTGTTGTTGTTGTTGTTGTTTTCGTTGTTGGTGTTGTTGTTGTTGTGTTCCATTTTGGAATCTGTGGGATTCCAATTGGACGATCGGAATAATCGGATCCGATCACTCCGATCATCCAATGATCGGAGTAATCGGATCCGATTATTCCGATCATAGGGGCGCCAGCGAGCGTCGCCGGTTTGTTGTTGTTGTTGTTGGTGTTGTTGTTGTTGTTGTTGTTGTTTTTGTTTTTGTTGTTGTTGTTGTTGTTGTTGTTGAACATTATTTCTTCTTAAGAATAATTATTGTTGGGACCCCTGGTGCATGGCCCCCCCGCCGCGCCTAGGCCGCAGCCACGTTTTCATCATTTTCGTGAGGAAGTCTCAGGCAAAACGATGTGTACCAGATCCGGTTGTGTTGTTACGATCGGTTTTCCCTTGCAAAAAATAAGCTAAAGTGGACATTTCTTGTTCTAACATAACCAAACTTCAAGAATCCCTTGCAAAAAATAAGGTAAAGTGGACATTCGCGCGCGCAAGACGAAATCCTTCCAAAACCTTAGTTTTCGTAGCGATTTTAACATAAAAACATCAAAAAACCAATGGTTTTTCAAAAAAAAATGTCAAAATTTCATCCCGCGCGCTCTTGCGGATTCGTAGGAAACCCAACACTTTTTAACATTTCTGTCAAACGGGCTTTTGCGAGCAACTTTTTCGAACTTCTGCAACAACGGTTGCGCACCTGCCAGGGCCATCATCCCTGTCAAATAATACCATGCGGGACACATTCGTTTTTTCTTCGCGCGCGCACGCCGTCGTCGTCGGCCGCGGGGCCCTGAATAGTAGCCACGGTCGTCCGCATGCCACGAAGTGAAGTGTCCGAACGTCATAGGGCGGGAAGCTGGGTGTGGGTGGTGGCGAAGAGTCGTTTGGAAATTTGGTAGAGCTTGAACCGGCCCCCCCACAAAGTGGGGGTATTGCCCGCCTCCTATGAAAACCCTGGCACTGGTGAGAACGGTGTGTCCCCACGTGCTAGTAATTGTTGTTGTTGTTGTTGTTGTTGTTGTTGTTGTTGTTGTTGTTGTTTGTTGTCGTCGTCCCACCCGCGACCCACCCGCGACCCACCCCGCGACCCACCCCGCAACCCACCCCGCGACCCACCCGCGACCCGGCCCGCGACCCACCCCGCGACCCACCCGCGACCCACCCGCGACCCACCCGCGACCCACCCGCGACCCGCCGGCCCGCGACCCACCCGTGACCCACCGTCGACCCACCTGCGACCCAACACGTGACCTACCCACTTTGTTTTAGCAGAAAGATTGGAAAAATAGGCGCCTGCGGCGGGCTCGTTTTATAGCTTGAAAAATTATGCGCCTGCGGCGGGCTTCTTCAGAGCCTCGCAGACTGCCGACGCACCCGCAACTGCGGGGTGCTACGTATACATATGTGCGTATACACACGCACGCCCGCGCTTGCAGTGGCATATGCGCATGAATTGTATGCGTGCAGATGTGCAGGCTACTTCGGTCGACGAGTAGGTCATTTTCGTCTGACTGGGACACTATACGTACGTACGCGCGCGACTGCGCGCGTGCGCGCAGTGGCGTCCAGTTCTCACGCGCGGTTTGAGGCTGACTGCCCAGAATCCCAGAAAAGGTACAATTGCTTTTTCGCATGCGGTTTCGGGGTTGACACGTGTCACCGGTTGCCGTTGTGAGGCTGAATGGCCTTATGTTGGCTTTGGAATCCCAAATTTAGAATTGGTTATTCTGTCACCTTCTCGGGTGTGACACGTGTCGTCTGTTTTTTGTGTGAAGCTGAATGGCCTTATGTTGGCTCCCAGAGTTCCAACTTTACAATTAATTGTTTTTGTCTCTCACGGTTTCGGGGGTGGCACGTGTCACAGGTTGTTTTTGTGAGGCTGAGTGGCCTTATGTTCGCTCTCCGAATCTCAAATTTACAAATGGTTTTTCTAACGCGGATTCGGGGGTGATTTGTGTCGCCTGTTGTATTTGTGAGGCTGAATGGCCTTATGTTGGTTCCCAGGATCCGTAAATTTACCATTTGTTTTTCTCACTCGGTTTCGGGGGTGACACGTGTCACCCGCTGTTGATTGTCCGGCTGCATGGCCTTAATTATGTTGGCCCCCAGAATCAAGAATCTACAAGCTGTCTTTCTCATTTCGGAGGTGTTTCGTGTCGCCCGTTGTATTTGTGAGGCTGAATGGCCTTATGTTGGCTCCCAAGATTCCAAATTTATAATTGATTTTTATCAAACGGTTTCGGGGGGGACACGTGCCACCTGTTGTTTTTGTGAGGCTGAATGGCGTTTTGTTGGCTCCCAGAACCCCGAACTTACAATTGGTTTTTATCACGCAGTTTCGGGGGTGACACGTGTCACCCATTGTTTTTGTGAGGCTGGATGGCCTGATGGTGGCTTCCAGAATCACAAATTTACAACTTGTTTTTCTCACGCGGTTTCGGGGGTGACACGTGTCACCGGTTGTTTTTGTGAGGTTGGATGGCCTTATGTTGGCACCCAGAATGCCACACTTACATATGTTTTTTTCTCACGCAGTTTCGGGGGTGACACGTGGATCCTATTGTTTTTGCGAAGTTGAATGGCCGAACGCTTGCTCCCAGAATCCAGAATTTACAATTGGTTTTTCTCACGTGGTTTCGGGGGTGACACGTGTCACCTGTTGTTTCTTGTGAAGTTGAATGGCCTCAGGTTGGCTCCCAGAATTCCGAAGTTACAATTGGTTTTTCTTCAAATAGGCGTGCCCTATAGGAGTCCTAGCTCAAACCCTACTAATTGGTCTTTTGCCCCCCCTAATTCCTTTGCCCCCCCCTAATTCCTATGGCTATGCCTATGCCTATGCCTCCCCCTAACTCTGATGCGTACGCCTGCGCCTATGCCTATGCCTGCTTGTTTGCTTGCGCGCTTGCACGCTTGCTTGCTTGCTTACTTGCTTGCGCGCTTGCGCGCTTGCTTGCACGCCTGCTTGCTTGCTGGGTCGCGGATTCCAAGCGTGCTTGATTCCTCTGATTCCTTGATTTGAGTCGTCTAAGCTATTTGGAGTCAACGCTGGCTGACATTGGTCCTTCCCCCCCTAATTCCTATGCCCCCCACCCAATTCCTATGCCTATGCCTATGCCTATGCCTATGCCTATGCCTATGCCTATGCCTATGCCTATGTATCCCCCCTAACTCCTATGCCTACGCCTATGCCTATGCCTGCTTGCTTGCTTGCTTGCGTGCGTGCTTGCGTGCTTGCTTGCGCGCTTGCGCGCTTGCACGCTTGCTTGCTTGCTGAGTTGCGGATTCCAAGCGTGTTTGAGTCGTCTAACCTATTTGGAGTCAACGCTGGCTGATATTCTGGAAAGGCTTCGCGGGTGACACGTGTCACCTGTTTCTTTGGTGAGGCTGAATGGCGTCTTGCCGGCTCCCACGATCCAAGATTTACAATTGTTTTTCCCACCCGGTTTCGGGGGGTGGCACGTATCACCCGCTGTTTTTTGTGAGGCTGAATGGCCTTGTGTTAGTTCCCAGAATGCAGTTTTAAATGTGTTATTCTCTCACGGTTTCGGGGGTGACACGTGTAACCCGTTATTTGTTTTGAGGTTGAATGGCCTTGTGTTCGCTTCCAGAATCCCAAAGTTAGAATTTGTTTTCCTCACAGGGTTTCGGGGGTGACACGCGTCACTCGTTGTTTTTGTGAGGTTGAATGACCTTATGTTGGCTCCCAGACTCCCACATTTACAATGCTTATTCTCACGCGGTTTCGGGGGTGGCAAGTGTCGCTCGTTGTTATTGCGCGGCTGTATGGCTTGATGTTGGCTCCTGGAACCCCAAATTTATAACACATGGTGTTTTCTCACGCGGTTTCGGGGGTGACACGTGTCACCCGTTGTTTTGGTATGAAGTTGAATGGCCTTATGTTGGCTCACATGCTCCCAAATTTACAAGTGGTTTTTCTCAAACGGTTTCGGGGGTGACACGCGTCACCCGTGGCTCTTGTGAGGCTGAATAGCGTTTTGTTGGCTCCCAGAACCCCAAATTTACAATTAGTTTTTCTCACGCGGTTTCGGGGGTGACACGTGTCATCCGATGTTTTTTGTGAGGCTGAATGGCTTGATGTTGGTTGGCTCCCAGAATCCCAAGCGTGGCCTGACGCCAAGAGGGGGTGCGCAGCATTCTGCCCTTACACGCGGAGCGTCAGGGCTGTCGCGGGGACGTCCCCGGCGCTCCAGTTTGCCCCGCCGCCCTTTGTTTTTTACTTGCGCACTACAGCGCTGGGAATTATTATTTCTTCAGTGTCCCCCAGATTGCTGTTTTGTTTTACCGTTTTTAGATATTAACCGGCCCGCTATATGGTAAGTATGCGCATCACATTTAGACCGGAATACAGAGGGGACGTGGAGGAAGTACTTAGAGATATAGAGCACCAAATTTGAACCAGAGATGGGTATACATGTCTTTGCACAATCAAACAAACAAGCACAAACCGAACCACCAAAGCACACAAACAATAATTAGCGATACATGTATAGAGAGGAAACAGAGAGAGAGAGACAGGGCCATATGGTAGACACTAGTGTGTATATATATATATAGAGAGATATCTGGAAAGAGAGAGAGAGAGAAAGAGGGGGAGGGGCAAAGAGGAAGAAAACAAAATAATATATATATATATATATATATATACTGAGAGACAGGGAGAGAGAGAGAGAGAGAGAGTGAGAGAGAGAGGGAGATACACAACGAGCGCGTGTGCGTGTTGGAATCCCCCCCCAGGCGAGCGACGACGACGTCCCAGACGGACTCATAGTGCAGGACGAGACCGAGGAGGACGCGGGGCCTCGCCACGAGCATTTGAATCCACCGGAGACCTGGGGGAGGGTGCGGACTGTTGGGGGGAAGCTTGGGGAGTGGAGGGATGATAAGGGGGGGTGGGGACATGATGGGGGAGAAGGGGGAGGGGAAAGCCAGGCGCGACCGCGTCACATTCGACCTGCCCCTTCAAAGCATCCCTTCTCATTGCGTTGAATCAATCCTCTCCCATCCGCCGAGTGGGGTGCTCTAGAGACCCTGATCCCCCAGGTGGTCGTTGCAGGACTGACCCATCGTTTGCCGTACAAGCTGTGAGGGGGGCTGCTTGCACCATGGAGGACGAGTAGCAGCAGCAGTGGGCGTGAGAAAGGAAGGGAGGGGGGAACGGATCGACGAGGGAGGAATTGGATCCAGCAGTGTGGCCCGCGCTGGGACGAGAGCCCCACTCCGAGCGACGGAGGCAATGTCACCGACACTGAAGTTGGCCAACGCTGCAGCCGGAACACCACGTGGGAGAACCTGGAGATGTTCCGCATGGACGGCATCGGACCCCCTCTCGGAGCCGCCGTTGGGCACTCTTGGGGCCGTCTTGGGGCCCTCTCGGGGGCATCCGCGGCCGCCCTGTGGCGATCTTGGGGGGCCTCCTGGGCCGTCCTGGAGCGTCTGGAAGCAGAAAACGCGAAACGGCCCAAATCCTAGGGGTAGCCATGGCGTGTGCCTCTTGAGGCCCTCTCAGGGGGCCTCTTGGGGCGTCGTAGAGCCTTCTTTTGGGCCGTCTGGGGGGCCATCTGGGGCGTCTGGGGGCGACCTTGGGCGTTGCGGGGCCCTTTTTTGTGCAGTCTTGAGGTCCTCTTGAGGGCATCTTGGCTCTCCTCCTCCTCCTCCTCCTCCTCCTCCTCCTCCACCTCCTCCTCCTCCTCCTCCTCCTCCTCCTCCTCCTCCTCCTCCTCCTCCTCCTCCTCTTGTTTTTGGCCCCTCTTGGGCCCGAAGAGGTCACGCGAGAAGGCGCGCCTGACAAGACGCGTCATGCCCCGCCAAATTTGGTAAGTCGGGCTCCGCGCCACTTCAAGGCCCCTCCGGACTGAGGACTGACAATTTTAGGAATACGGGATCGACCTGAGGACACGCCCACTCCGTGCCCAGAGGCACGGTGGCCGATGAGTTGTGGATTCGGGAGCGCGAACGCGTCGTGCTTTACAGGGTGTGTGGCTGCGGGAGCGTAAACCCGTTGTAGTTCACAAGGGATTGCGCCTTCGGGGGCGCAGTATTGTAGTACATTAGCAGACATTAGCAGGGGGTGTGGTCTCGAGGGCGAATCGGCCGAAATGTATCAGAGATTGTGGCGTGGGCGCGGAGTCGTTGTAATGTATGAAGGGTTGTGGCCTCGGGGCTAGGGGGCACCAGCGCTTAGAGAATTACAAGTGGGCGTGGCCTCGGGAACGCGAACCTGTTGTATCTTACGTGCCCCAAGGCCCACACAAATTCTGAGGATGTGCTTCTGGGAGAGGAACCGGATCCGTTTCGTGCTGGGGCCCTCGCGCGGACTTCAATCATTACAGAATTTGGAAGTCAACGTTCGACCTATACAGGTACAACACATCATCATATGGAGCAGCTGCAGGGAACGGTGAAGCCACGCTCAAGCAGCATGTTGCCCCCCCAAGAGGGCTGAAGGATGTCAGTTGTTTCCCCTTATGCCCATCGGTTATCGGCGACCCCGCGCTATTCCCACGGGTATGTTACCACGCCCATCTCGGCCCAGCCAGCGCGCAGGACGTCGAGAAGAAGCTCAGAGAAAGCCGTGCGCGGCGCGAGGCGGCGCCTCGAAACTCTTCCGCAATCTTCCCGCGCGTTTGCAGCTCTTTGCGTGTAGCCGCCTCTTTGGAGCCTGGCGTCGTGTCTCTGCCTTTGCCCCCTCTAACCCTCGCCCTCCGTAGACCCCCCGCCCCCTCCTTTCCCCACCTCCTTCCCGAAGGGAGGGTCCAACACACGGGGGGCCCCCTCAGATGTTCTTGGACGGGAGACGGGAGGGGTGGAGGTGGAGATGGGAGAGGGCGAGGGGAGAGGGCATGTGGCAGAGGGCGAGGGCGAGGGCAGAGGAGGGGCGGAAGGGGGGGGAGGGGGGGGGGGGGGGGGGGGCCTTGGCGTGTCTGGCTGAGGGGCCCCTGTCGGGGAGCGGGACCTGCATCGCTCAGCGAGGCGGTCCGCCCGCGAAGGCGGCAGCGGCAGCCGCTTCCAGGGAGCGGCAGGGACAGCCTCCCCGTCGGGGCCGGGAGCGTCTGATTGCGCGGGGGGCCCTGGCCCGGCATCCTCCCTCCTCTTCCTCCCGTGTCCCTCTCCCCTCTCCCTTCCCCTCCCTCCCCTCTGTCCCTCCCCTCCCTCCTGCGTCCTCCCTCCTCCCCCCCCCTCTTCCCCTCCCTCTCTCCTGCGTCCTCTTCCTGCCCTTCCCCTCCCCTCCTCCTCCTCTCGGCCCCCCCGCCTCCTGCGCGGCACGCTGCCCCCAATGAGTGCCGCACCGGCGGCCTGCGCCCCCCGCCGCTGCCCCGCGCGTGCAGAGCACGGGGCCTCCGCGCGTGGCGGCCCCGCGGGCGGTCCCGCGGCGGTGGGCGGCGGGGGGCCACGGGGCGGGGGCCCCCCCCTGGTGAGGGGCGGGCGGCCGAGGGCCCCCCCTGCGCGGGGGGCGCCTCCTCGGCGCGGGCGCCCCCAGGGCGTCGCGCCCCCACGGGGGTTCAGTCGGGCCGGTCCCTCCACAGGAGGACTGTGCAAAGATAGGCAAACAAACAGACAGGGGATTGTTTCTGGAGCATGTTTGGGGCATCTGTTGAGCGTGTTTGGGATATTTGTTTATTTTTTTGTCCAAACTCCCCCTGTAGGGGGACAGGCCCGGCCTAACACTGGGGCCCGGCCTGGCGGAGAGAGGCAGGCGGCATGCGCTGCTCCTGCCCTGCGCTGGCCGAGCGGCCAGGCGGGCGGTGCTGCGGGCGGCGCCGAGGCGCACGGTCACGTCGTGAGGCGCAATCGTCGGAGACTGGAACATTGTACATTACCAGGGGCGGGCTGCGTTTTCAATCCCGAGACTTCTGGAGGGTCGGGGACGACGTCGGGGTGGTGTGGTGTATGTTTTTCCCCCGCTTTCCGGCTGCGTTTTCAATCCCGAGACTTTTGGAGGGTCGGGGACGACGTCGGGGGTGTGTGGTGTATGTTTTTCCCCCGCTTTCCCAGGGAAGCAACGAAACATGTATACACCTGGATCCCGTGTACAGCAGGATCCGCGTTCTTGTGCGAATTTCGGCGCAGGGTCGGAACAAAAAGCGTCGGTGTATAGAGTTCGTTCCCCTAAATCAGACAAACCGATTCTTTACACAAGCAAGACTGACCTCTTGAGGATCCTGGGCCGGGGCCCGGATCCTGGACGTCGTCCCTGTGCGTCGATGCTGGGCTTCCGCGACGGCTCGAGGACTAGAGACCTGCCCCCCCCACTTGAATTGTAGACCGACCGTGCACAGCAGACGCGAAACTACATATACACATATTTATATATATATATATACATATATATATATATATATATATATATATATATCCATTTCAGCGTACGCCCCCTCTTGGCAGGCAGCATACTCGACGAAGGGTGGTCATTCGGCGGAGAAGGGGTATCGGCAGCACGAGGGAGGGGCATCGGCAGCACGACGAGGAGAGACGAGAGCAGGAGGCTGAGAGACGATGGAGGTGCGCATCCTCAAGAGTGTCGCGGCCGCGCCCTCGTCCTGTCAACTGCTCAAGGCCCTCGCCCGGCGCAGTCGCCACGAGCCCGTGCCCGGGGGCCTCGTTTGGAGCGGAAGGAGAGCACTGTCCGAAGCAAGAGCGGGAGTCGCCTTTCTCACGTTTCCCCAGCTGCGCTTCGCGAGTTGCACATGCAGCTCTTGTGTGAGCGGAGAGAGTTTCCACGCTCGCAGGGTTCTCCAAGGGCTCCTCCCCGCTCCAGCTTGCGCGCGCACTGCCAGGGAGACTCACGTGGTGCGGCACGCGATGGGCAGCTAGCTTGAGCCACACGCGCTTCGCCGCACTGCTTTGCTCACTACTCGAGCCTTGTGCACGTGCCACGCCCCAGCCCAATAGTCGTTCCTCCTACTCATCCCCGTCGCCAGTCTCTCCCACCTCGTGCTGTTGCTCCTCCTCTCTTTCTCCTGCGTCATCATTTGTCTCCTCCTCCCTCCCTTCCCCCTCCTGTTCAGCTCCTCCTCCTCCTCCTCCTCCTCCTCCTTCTCCTCCGCGTCCCCATCTGCCCATTTTCGCACGATCCTCCGTCACATACGGGCCCGTCCTCGCACGCTTCCCCCCACAGGCTCTCATGGCCAAGTGGGTGACGCGAGGCGAGGGCCAGGACCCTCGCCACAAGCCGCTCCGTCCTTGGCCAGACTGGTTGCTCCCCACATCGCCCTCGCTCCGCCGCCGCGGCTCTCGCCGCCTCCCCCTCCCCTCCCCCTTGCCCCCCGCCCCCCCCCACACACCTCCCACCTCCCCCCTCTCGCTGTCCCTCCTCCTCGCCCTCGTGGAGCTCAGTGTGGTTCCAGGAGGTCTCGCACTCGTACGCACCCCTACGGGGTGTTGACGGAAAACATACCAAAGAGATTGCATTCGGGGACGTACACCGGGTCTTCATGACAGACAACCCGTCACAGGACTTGCTTGTCTCCTGTGATGCAGAGCGGCTACGCCAACATCCGGGAGGCGGCGACTTGCGTCGACGCAGTCCGCAAGCTGGCCTCCACCATAAAGGATTCGGAGAGCACAGCCAAAGTCATCAGTGGCTACGCGGCACAACGGAGCATGCTTCATGGGAGGCGGTCCCAAACCAGGCTTGGATTCGCAGCCAACGCGCGCAACCTGACGCAAAAACATAGGACTGTGCCGCGCAGAGGTACGCAGAGGACAGCTGCACAAGTAACACCCGACGACGTCCCCGACAAGCCAAGGTGCCGCTTACCCACTGGCTCTCTGACGGCGGCAGCACCCAACCTGGCCTCTGGCGCACTCCTGACAGCACCGCCAAAACGATGACGCAAACGGCAGGGCCCCAGCGGGTGCGCGCTCGCCGAAAAGACCACGGACGACAGCGGCCTGGGGCTCGAGTTCAACGGCCTGGCGGACGAGTTCCCTGACCTGCTCGGCTCCCGCCAGTTGCCCCTATCCACCACTGACTCCAGCAAAGGTGGCGATGCCGACATCGTGATCCATCTCGCTGCCCGGCCCAACTGCCAGCGCGACTGGCGCTTCTTGGACAGCCGCAACCGCGCCGACGTCGCCGTTGCCAGTGCCGAGCGTTTCGTTGTCCCCATCGGCGATTTTAGGATGTTCAGCACAGCCAGCGAATCCATGCTCAGCGCGCGGACACTATGGCAGAGCAACCAACCTTGGGGTGCGATTCGTGGGCGACGGTTTCCTGGGGACCAGATTCCGGCCGGAAGCCGACGCGGGATGGGGCTGCATCGAGGACGCGCAGCGCTGGATCCCGCCTGAACACCAGACCAACACCTGGCTCCGACGTCGACCGCGCCATGGCCGAGGTCAGGGAAACCCAGGCAGACTCCCCGCTGGTCCGAGACTTCTCCTAGGAGAGGCTCGCCGAGCAACTGACTGGCGCGCTCTGCGCCCGCTTGAATGCGCCCGCCCTCGGCCCCGACCTGCACCCGGCAAGCGGCCTCCGCCCGAGCGAGTACGGCGCCGCCAGCCAACCAGCAAGACGTGGAGCCACAAGGGCTTCCTCTACGACGTGACCCTGGGGATCGACGCGGGCAACCTGGTCTCCAGCACACTGTGGGCTGCCATGATGTGGGCCTGTGGTCCTGGGCCGAAATGGGGCGACGGGGACATTGCTGCGGGGGTAGACGATCCCCTGGGCCGCCTGCGACTTGGCCCACGGTGCCAACCCCGGGGATATGCACGCCTCCTCCCATGCCGAAGCAGTTCCCATGCGCTTCAAAACGGCCCACTGCGCACTGCAGCAGACAGCGCGCACACCCTGGGATGAGCGGCCTCGAGTCCATCCTCCGCGGACGGGCCGGGCCCGACCCCTCTGCTCGACAGCCGTGCCAGGGACAGCGCCGACCCCATCCGGCTGGCGCAGGCACGGGTCACGCTCATTCTGGTGGTGCTCACTGCGAGGGAATCTAGGATGCGCGCGTTCCCATACTCTGGCCAGGAGGGAACAGGTGACGCGATCGAAGGTGTCCTTGGGATTTGCAAGCCGGGCAGTGCTACAGGCTCCACATCGGCGCCCAAAGAAGTCAGCTTCCGCGAGTTGTTTTGGAAAGTCTTGGGGACTTGCCAAGGGCGACTTTCTGCGCCTGCATGGCCGCTTCGAAGACGCCCTGGGACGCGTCGCCTGCCCGGCGCGCGCGAGTCATTGCCACCCACGCGCCGAAGAGGCCGAATGCCCACAGACCTGGGCGGAGACGTTGCAAAGCAAGTTCCATCTGCGTTCTGCGACCGTGGTCCTGGAGGCGCTGGTCGACCCCGCCCGTCTCGCCGGGCTTGCGTCCGCCGGCTGCGGTCTGCGCCCTCCGCGCTGGTCTAGTCGGCAGCTACGGGCGCCTCGGGGGGCCGGAAGGCAGAAGGCAACGATCTCCGCTACATCGGCGGAGGCACGGCCACCAACAAAACCAACCTTGTCGCGCCCACGCCTCTCAGCGCGGCCCCCAGCGCCCAGCTTGCCCCCCCAAATCTGGTCTCGGGAGACGCGCGTTTTCTCGAGCAGCATAAGGGCGCCCGCCCCATCTGCGACGGCCGCAAGCAGGGGCCTTTCGAGCTCCGCGAGGGCACGTGGGAGGACGACCACGCACGCTCCTACCTAGCGCAGAATCAGGAGCTCGCTTACAACAGCGGTTTCAATTGCCGCTGGCTCTGCCTGCGGCGCTGGCAACGCCGCGTGGAGGATAAAGGCGCCGAGGTACCGCATAGACGACATGCGATAGATAAGCTGGCCGCCCACCACGAAGACCATTGTGCCGCGCAGGGGATCCGGGTCCGCAACGCCCTCCCGGTACCCCTACGGATGCCAGCGGGGCATGTCCAGGTGCCCAAACCCAGCAGCGCCTGCGCGTTGACCCAGCTGCTCCTGTTGGCCACCGACACTGACGACCCAGCACAGACTGGCAGCACCGTCCCCAACTGCCGCCCCATAGACGACCGCTTCGGCACAGGCGCCACGGAGTCCGGGCTCTGCTCTGCCATCTGCGACAGCGGCAGCGGCGAGCCCGTTGAGCTGGCGCGGGGGCCAGGCCGCCCCGCTCCTGGCCCCTTAATTCGTCTGGAAGCCATGCCCCGGCCAGGGGTGCGAAGACACATGCGGCCTCCTCGAAGGGGACCCGTGGGCGGAGTGTCCCGGCGCTGCCGCATCTGCCCGGCGCGCGTCTGGGGCGGCGCCCAGCGTCCTCGAGGTCAGGCTGGACAGGGGCTCAATCCGCACGTGCCCTCCCGCCCCAACAAAGAGGCCCCCGAAGCCCAAATCAACGGCTGACGAAGGCGCGCGGGGCGAGCTCGGCCATCCGCGCGCTGCGGCAAGGCAGGGCGGGGGCAAGGGCCAGCCTGGGGAAGCGACGCCACCCCGCAGACAGCTTAGACAGACAGCAGTCGATGCGACCATATCCTCGGCATCCTGCCAAGTCTTGCCCCCCCCCCGCGCCCGCGCGCTGGCCACAGAGAGGCCTGGGCCTTTTCTAAAAGCAGCGGGCGACATGCGCGAGACAGCAGTGGTCTCGCCCCTGCAACTGGCGAAGCACGCCCGCTGCCTCGACCCAGCCGCCGAGCCACCGACGACGCCCGGATCGACCTCGTCGCCCAGGAAGGCCCCGAACCGGACGATTGGAGCGACGATGCTTGGGAGCGCAAGCTCGCCTGCACCTTCATCCAGACGCTCTTCGCCAACGCCTGCACTGACGACGGAGCCCCGCCCAGGGTCGCCTGGCCCGGGAATCCTTGACCGGGCGCGCCCGGCAGCTCTGCGCCCATGGAGGCGCGCCGCGCAAAGACGCCGATCCCGCTCATCATCGCACCAACGCGCTCGTCGACTGGCTCGCAAGCATGGGCCCCGACCTGCTCGCGGACGACGCTGCGACGCACTGGGGGGCGGACGCGAGCAGCGCGGGCCCGACGGCAACGTCGAGCGGCGCGGCCGCGCCGCCCCGCGCGGCCCGGCCCCCGCCCAGCGCTCAGGCCAGAGCGGAAGAGGCGGGGGCGATGACCAAGGGGGACGTCCACCCTCCCGTCATGCGCCTGGGGAAGACGCAGAGCCTGGTCAGGCTACGGAGCTGGGCGCGGACACTGCTGCCAACGCAGGCTACGACGCAGTGCAACGAGAGGAGGAGCTCGACGGGGTGGGGCGCGGAGGCCTAGGTGCCACAGAAGAATCTTGAGCAGCGCGAGGCCCCCCCCTCGCACTGTCACCCTCCGCGCCGCCGGGTCGGCCAGCAGCAACCGCGACCCCGCTGACGCGCGGAGGCCGCCGCCAACCCCCGACTCCTGGTGAATGCACTTGCCAGCAGCGACGCAGCGCGGGAAACCCTGGGTGCCCGCAGAGGGCTGCGGGAAGGGGCGCGATCGACCTGCGTGACACGCAGCGCGCAGCCCCGCCAGCAGCAGGTGGACCAGCTACAGCCCCGGCTGGAATGCCCGAGACGATGGGCGCACGTGCGGATCAAGCTGGTCGAGCACCGCGCGGAGCAGCAAAGCCGCCGGCAGGTGGGCAGGAGGCCAGGTGGCGGGACAAAGTAGCCAACCCACTCACGCCAGCCGACCGCCGCGCTCACGACGGCAGTCAGACGTACAAGACGCCCGCGCACCCGGCGGGAGCACAAGGCCAGACCGAAGACAGCCATGACTTCATCAAAAGAATGCAAACCGAGCTCGGCGCCACTCTCAACGAGGTCTGGCGCCGGCGGGCAGAGCGACGCGAACTGCGCCCGGGTTTCGCTCCGAAGGATCCACGCGTGCAAACCCAGGTCGCTTGCGATGAATTTCTGGATGCCCGGCGATAGCGCGGCCACGATGCCCGCGCACTCAGCCACCATCGGGCTCAACGCCAACTTTGAGCACGCGCGACAAGAGCACATGACGAACGAATGGGGCAGCGCCGGGCGATCAGGCAAGCGACGGGACAAGGACGCCTCTGACGCACGCAGCGGCAAGCAGCAGCGCATTCGCAGCCACGGCTGGGACGGGCCCCTCACGGACAAGAGGCGCCGTCAGTAGGCCCGCCCCTACTGCGCACCCTGCCACGTCCCATTGCACCTCCCACCATGCGTTCTGCCTGAGGTATCCAATTTTCGCATTTGCAGCGATCAGCTGCCTCCTCCTCCTGTCCACCTTCCCCCCCGCCTTTCCCTTGCCCAGGGTATTCCTGCACCTGCTTCCTCATTGCCTGCCCGCGGTGGCGGGGGCTAGGCGTCGCCTCGCGTATACCTCTGCCGAGGTTATCAGTGCATTTGCAGCGATCAGCTGCCGGTCCTTCCCCTCGTGTTCTACGCATTTGCGGCGATCAGCCGCATCTCGCGCGTCTCGGCCTGGGGAATCGTCTGGCGGGCCTCTTATGAACTGCTGGGCCCGCGAGTGGCGTCGGCGGCCAATATCGCCGACTTGCCCTCGCGCGAGCCATGCTCCCTGCTGTGTCGCGCGGGGGCGGAGTGGTCTCATCCGGTGCTTGACGACGCGTGGTTCGACCCGAGCGCGCGGCTTCTCGCCGCCGGCCATGACCGGCTCGGGCACCAGGCGCGCGTGCAATGTATTGCGTCTTCCCTCGTCCGTCAGGATGCACCCGCCAGGTCGGGCAGATGTCAGGGGTCTTCCCTCGCGCGCGTCGCGGTCGCGCTTCGCGATGTGAGCGCGCGCGCACTTCGCCGCGCAGTCGGTGCGCCTTGAGGGGTCTTCCAGCGAAAAATGGCGCAGTCTGGATTGATCGCTCAGCTTCGCGCAGTTTGCCCCGAGGCGCGCCCTATATTTATTTTCGATGCTGCTGCGCTGCGCGCCGACAACGGCGCCGGCGCCGTGGGCGACTTGGTTGGCGTCGCCCTGACAGACTTCAGGGGCGCCGCGGCATTATCTAGCGACGCCCGCGAGGTGGCCCGCGCGGCTATCGCGACAGCCCAGCGCGGCGGCGCGCCAGCTGCGCGGGCCGGGGGAGGCGCGGGCGCTCCTCCTGCGCCCGCCCCCTCGCCCGGGATTGCCCCCAGGTCTTCTCGCGCGATCCGCGTTCGCCTGCGGGCGCGTCGCGTCGGCCGTCGCAGGGCCGGCATCGCGGGGCAGGCGCCCTCGAGCGAGTCAATCTCGCCATCTTTCACGGCGCGCGCGCGAAGCCGCGGCGCGTCGCTCGCGGCGCGTCGCGCGGGCGCCGGGACAGCGACTGGGCGCGCGCAGCTCCCCCGGCGGACCCCGCGCCCGAAGTCGAGTGGGCGCTCTCATTTGCCGGGCGCGAGGGTCGCCTCTTTTTGCGCGGGCCGCGGGCCGAAGCTGCCGGGGCTGGCTGGGGCCCTTATCGCGTCTCCAGCGGCCGGAAGAACGCGGGCGCGCAAAGCCCGGGCGAGCGCGCCCCCGGGTGCGCGCCCGCGTTCGTCGCCAGCGCTCAGCAGCGGGTTCGAGCGCCGGATGGCATTCGCTCGAGGGGCGTCTCAAAGCGACGCGGGGGAGAACTGCCGCCCATCCTCCAGGGGCTGATTCTGTTGTCCACGACCTTCAGGTGCGCTGGCACCTTCAGCAACTATGTGACTTACGTTAAGAAGGCATGCCTCGTGGCGCGCAGCCGCGCCCCTCCTTCTCCTCCCCTTGCTTCGCGCGCGCTCGCCCGCGGTGGCAGTCGGCGCGCAGGGCCCGTGGAAGTCTCCAGGCACCCGGCGGTTCGCGCCGCTAAGAACGCCATCGAGAAGCGGTCGGGCTGACAAGCGAAGGCGCGCTCGCCCGCCTGGTTCCGCGCCTGGGCTTCAGTGACGAGGGTCGCCGTTTCGCCGCGTCGCGCCTGGCGGCCCCCGCACTCCTCCTTCGGTGACCTTCGGAGGCCCTGCCCGCGACGCGGGTTGAAGTTGGCGCGGCCGCAGCTCGCGGGGCCTCCGCGTTCGTCGTCGGCGATCAAAAGATCGAGCGGCACCTCTCCAGGAGAGAGAACCTCGAGGGCCTCTCGGCGTTGTCGCGGCAGTTCTGGCGCGACGAGCGCGGGGCCGCCTGTCCCGGGGGGGCTCTCGGGGCCCGGCCCTGGCCAGGTGGCGCGCCAGCTCGCCAGCCCATCTGGGCCGCGCGGCCCCCGGGCGCAGCGCGCGCTCGGCTGCGCCGCGCGCTGGGCGAAATGGGGCGCCACGACGCGGGGTCATTCGGCGCCCGCGCGCACGGGCGCGGGCGCGCGCAGGGCGCCGCAGCCGGGGGGCGCGGTCACCGACCTCCTTCGCGCGGGCGGCTGGCATCAGGCCGCGCGGGTGAAATTCCATAACGTTCCCCGGCTCGAGCGACAATCGGTCGTCGAAGCCCACTGGGCAGATCCGCCCAGCGACGATGGCGATGTCTAAGCACCCCGCGCAGTCCGGGGGTCGCGACTGCACGGCGCACGCGCGGGCGCACCCTGTCGCGCGGGGGCAGCGGATGGCAGCGCCGGGCGCGGCCCGCGGGAGCGCCGCTGCAACGCGCGGCGCCCCCCCGCGGGCCCGACCGGCGCCCGCCCGCTGGGCTTCGGAGAGGCCGCGCGCTGCGGGGGCAGATGGGTCGGGCCCGCACCCTCCGCTCCTGGGGGAGGCCCCCCCCACCCTTGGGCCGCGCGAGGCGAGCGCAAGCGCCAGGATGTGTGGGGTCGGAATAACGAAGTTATTGCTTGGCACAAATCCGCCTGCGCTGGAAACGAACCCGCGGCTGGCCGCCGGGGCGCCCTCGCTCGGCTGGTCGGCCGCGCGCTGGCCGACCCGCGTCTGCCTCCCGCTTGTCGCGCGGTGCTGTTCCGCGCCGCGCTTCTTCCGCCTGGCACTGGGGCGGGGCATAAATGCCGCGCCGTGTCTCGCTTCTCTCAGGAGGGGGAAAACACACAGACACAATTAATCGTCGATTCCCAAAAAATATGGGAAAATATGGTAATTGGGCGGGAAGACCAAAACCCAGAAAATATAAGAAAAGATTGGGAATCTTTTTAAGTGTGTGTATTTATTGGTGTGTCCCAGGGCCCCTTCATTCTCGGTGGCCTGTGACGCGTCTCGCGTTTCGGTCCGTAGTGACCACGTGCGGTGGCTCATAGTGGCCCGCTACGCTCACAGGG